TTGTGGTGGCTCGACATTAGTCGCGAATAAAACGCTCTTTTTTCTGGCTGTTTGGGGAAATTGGAGAATGCGAAAAACGAACAGAAGAAAAAGAGATTTAGTTATCCTGCTGAATGTATAGATATACGTTTATGTAAACTACGGAAACTACCGAGTTGCTCAACAAAAATAGTCAGAAGCCGAGAGAAACATTTTTCTGGTGCACCTGGGAAAAAAATTTGCTTTTTTGACACCGGATTTTGCTCACAAAAAAAGTTCGGAATGATGTGTGGTGGAATGTTTCATGCAAAGGCCCATTTGACAATTCGCAAAAAAAAGACGTGAAAAAACCTTTTGTCGGGGATGAAATGGGGAGCTTTTGCGGCGAGAGAGTATGTTTTTGTGCGTCTTTTCTCTGTCTTCTCTGTTAAATCAAGACGAATTGTAAAAAACCGATAGCGAAGGGTCTTCTTCTCAGTTTGACATGCATCTATCTGTAAGTCTGTCGAGGAAATAATGTTTGTCTTGGAATCGCCCATCGTCAAGCGACGGCTGGAGATTCGACTACAAGGAGAGACGTTTCACTGCGACGAATGATGATATAATAGTTTTTCTGATTAACGTCCAATACAAGTTCACAAGAAGTCTAATACCTTTTACTATGCATACAAGTTGTAAAACGCAAAGTGTAATCTTAAACCGTATCCCCTTCCCACCCGCGACATCCATAAAAACATAATCGCCACCAAACACCGCCGGAATTTCCCTTTTATTTCGCAAATAACAAGTAATATTTTGTAAAGGAATTGCTTAATTTTTGTAAAACCAGTTCCGAGAAAAATTCGAAAAAATTTCAAAATTCCGGAAGAGATACTCCCTGTTTTCTCTGATCACAATTATTGCGATATCAGCGACGGAAATCATAAAAAAAAGAAACTACAAAAACCGGGAAAAACAGATCCATGAGAAAAAAAAACTGGAAACGGTTGGGAGAGAGAAATGGGTGGAAAGTCGCTTCGCCGAGTCGGCGACAACAAGTCGACAGAGGGGCGGCTGTAGCGAAAAACAAACTCTTTGAAAGCACGGCTCCTCAAAAGCTGGGATTGGATTTTGGGGGGATAATGGAGATCCAGAGTGGCAAGTAGAGATAATGGAGAGTGAAATTGTGAGGGAATTATTAAATTATAAAAGTTTGTCGGGAAAATAATGTGGATTTTAGAAGTCACCCATCACCGCTTCGCGGCTGCTTCCCGCGGCTGGAGATTTGGTGTACGACGAGGCGAGACATTTTGCAGCGACAAATCCACATTATTTTCCCGACAGACAAGCATTTACAATTAAACTTTGGCACAACAAACCAAGGCGAAAAAAATTATTCAGTGTGGAGAAGTTGCCACGACGATTATTTTGTCACCTAAAATTGGTTGTTGAGGCCTCTGAAAAATGTTTCTTATAGACACAGCTCATTTTACAGCAATTCTGTTTTTTTGGCGATTTTTGAGCTTGTTCAGGTTATGACAACCTAATCATATTACAAAAAACCAAAATTTTGTTGTTTTGCGGTATGAAAAAAGGCCATAAAAGAATAACCTTCAGCATTTTTAAACAAAAGAAGGTTTACGATCCACCCAGAGCTTCAACAAAAAAATATTATGTTATAAATATAACCTAATATTCTAGTGTTTTCCCGCAAGTAAGAGAGTATTCATGCCTTGAAAATGTCAAAAAACTAAAAAATGGGACTACAAATATTTCAAAAATTAAGCTTTTTTTTGAGTTCGCCTGACCCTGCAGAATTCAGCTTGCAGATTTAATAATTCTGTCTAATAACTTTCGCCGCGTACTCAAGACTCTTTCTAGCCGAGTGGGGCTTACGATAGAGAGGTGTTTCATCCAATGAAAGACGAAACATTCGAATGAATGCACTTTTTTCGTCGGGAAAAGAGCGAATCGCGGTGTACTTTTAGCGAAAATGGCGATAAGAGTGCATGCGAAAATAAGGTTATGGTAGGGGAGTAAGACGTTTGTGGGGTCTCGGAAATGCTTTGTTTTGCTGAAAAAACAGCCTTGTTCGGTGACTTACCTTCAGAAGACATCAAACGGGATTTTTTGAAACTTTCTGGATAGAAACTTGAGAAGAATGGGAGTTTTTAGTGATACTCCGCAAATTTATACCCTTTTTTTAATAAAACAAATGGTTTCTGAAATGAATAAACGATAAGTTTCAGTCCCTTCTACAGAATTCTTCCGCATTCTTTGTCGAAACACTATGAAACCTTCTTCAAGTTACATCATCCTTCGTGCAAAACTCGGAAAGAGACGATCGGGGTTCATAAAAACACTGCCCCAAACTGTAACACGATTACAACTATCAGCAGCTCGAGCAGTCTGCAACGGAAGAACACCCGATCCGGCGTTCCAATCGTTTTTTCGAGCAGTTTTTTGCACAAAAACCGGCTTATCGTCCTTGAAAAGAAACTTTCCACCCCAATGTTTTCCATGTTTTTTGTTGTTTCAGCAAGATGTTCAATGAAAGATGGATGAATTGAGAGCTACGGTAGTGTGGAGTGATAAGAGTTGCGAAACAGGGAATTAAATCGTTGGCGGTTAGATGGTTAATTAATGAGAAAGGATACGATTATCTATATATATTTCATGTAAATTTCAATTTTTTAGATTTTGAAGCTCTTCAAAGCTCCTTTACAATTTTTTTGTAATATACTACATATACCGGGTCCAAACTGTAACTTTTGGCGCTTAATTTGAGCGCCTTTTGACCTCCCTAATATCTCTGTAAATCCATTGCTTCAAAATGTTACCGTGGAGTTATGATACGATAAGAAGTTATTTTCAACATTTCCTCTCACCAATTTTCTTAGTTTTTCCATGACTTCTCCTCACATAATTATCCTTTATCCACTTCCGCCCGCAAAATTACTACTTCTGTTTTGTGCCCAATATTACGTCTGTTCAACAGAGATAAGCAATCTGTTCGGTATTTCACTCTTTCGCTGTTTTGCCTCGCTCTAGTGTTTATGAACCCATGATTTTTTTAAAGCTCTTTCTTTCAAATACATTATAAAAACGTCTGCTGAACTTGTTATCAAAGAAGCAATACAAAGTCTAGATCAAACAGCTGATAGTCGCGTGTGGGAAATTTCTAGAGGAGAAATGGTCGAGTTTGGGAAAGATTTGACACATTGACAATATTAAGGGTTTCTGGGACCGTTGAAAGAAGTTTTCAGAAATCTACGACTGAAATTTGCCGAATTTAGCGCCTTTTTTAGAGCTTTCAGAGCTGAAAAGAGTTGACACATGGACAATATTAAGCGTTTCTGGGACCCTTAAATGAAGTCTTTAGAAATTTACGACTGAATTGACTGAATTCAACGCCTTTTTAGAGCTTTGAAGGCTGAAAATTTGATGTTGAAAGTGTGGAGCACACAGTGCGACCGCTTTTCTGTAGGCATAATGATGCACAGAGGTGTGAGTTCATTTTTTGACTGTCTGCTCTCTTTATTTTGTCTGCTCTCTTCCCTGCAAAGATCGTTGAATATCTTGGCTCTCGTTGGAAAGCAAGAGCTGAAATTTTCAGTATTTAAATCTTAGCCTAGACAGTTAAAGCCAAACATAGCTTCTAGCAAATCCAACCTCAACAACCTGAGCAATCTGCCTTGTAAACATGATGAGTGTAGTATTATGACCACGATATATCTCCTCAATATCTCTTCTTCTCCCCGCTTTATTCCATCGCTATTACTCATCATGTTCCTCTCATCTTGTTTTCGGGAAGTCGCATTACGGTCGCTAACCACATGCGACAAACAAACTTGCTGATCACTGACCTGTTTTCGCAAATACAGACATACCAAAGCCTTCGGCGCTTTCTCACAAAAGCGGCTGGCGGAAAGAGCGAAAAATCAACGGACTTTTACAGGAAGATACAATCTAAAGTCAATAACAAACCGAGTATGTCTTCAATAAGTCGTATGAACCCATTTTTTAATGGTTGAGGCCGATTTCTTGTTCGAAAAGTTGTGAAAATGGTCAAAATCGAAAAAAATGATAATTTTTTTTTTCAAAAAGCTAGAATTTCCGGTGTATATTAATGTTTTTGTTGTTCCATAGGCCTAAATAAACAGTCTGCGATAACAAAGAGAGCCAAAAAAAATAGCTGGGGAAGTCGAAAAACGTTTATTTGCAGAGGCAGCTTTGCAGCGGCGAATTTTGTTTTTACGAAACGTCCAAAACAAAATGAAATCCTTTAGCTGAAGAGTCGTGAGCCAGCGATTTGGAGGGACGGTGTAAAATAATAGCACTTCGATTTGATGGTTATAGTGATGGAACTACAGAAAAATGGCAAAAATTATCGGTTTGCCGTGAATCAAAAATCGCAATGGCAAGTCGCGACAACTCAACTGCTTGTCATATTTGGGTCAGCGACATGGAAATAATGCTGAAATTTTTTGTGCATTACCCCGTAGAAAGAGTATTAACTCTTGCCGACTTTCCGGTCAGAAAATCTCGGTAGTTTTTCGTAAAGCGCTAGCAAGGAGTTTGGAATTTCTCTTTGAAAGCAATAAGCTAAATTCGCTCCAGATTTTGTAAAAATCTCAGCGCCGGTGTTTCTTTAGAAATAGCTAGAACAATTGTAAAATAGACTTAGGTCCACAGCGGTCGATCTGTCACCTCTGATTACAATTTCTCGAACTCAAAGTATGTGTATCGTAAGATCTTGTTGACAGGGAAAGTCTTCTAAATGCAACGCCCAGATTTTGATGAGTTTTGGCAAAATTTAAACTACGTTTTTGTCACGACAAATACGAGACTCGTAACTCGCTTCGTACGGAAAAAAAATCATTATTTTGAAGACGAAAGATGGTGAAATTGAAGCATTTTTTTGAATTTTTGCCTTAAAAACTAAGCACCTGTTTCGACCACAGAGAATATTATTATTGTGTATATATATATAGTTTACTGATTTTATGGACGGAGCAAGGAAAATAATTTTAAAATATACATTAGTATCGTGTGCAGTGATGTGCTTCCTCGTCGTCTTCGCCGTCCAGAAGTGCTTGATCGTCACCGATACAGGGGCAGAATATCCGGGTCAACATTCTCTCCTCCTTCAACGCATTCGTTACGTGGTTCATATCAACGAGAAGACACATCAACTTGGCAATGCGGACTGAAGTGTCGATAGGGCCGTAGATTTCCTGTAGACTTGACGACCACTCGTTCATCACGGTCTTCTGATGGGCGCTGATTTCGGGATTGGACATGTTCAGACGCTCGGCTGAAAATTGCGTATTATAAAGAAAGTTTTTGTAAAATACGCGGTAGTTTCCTTTAATATTATGTATGAACCTTGTTTTCATGATTCCGTCATTATTTTTTTCAAGGAAAAAGCTGTTTTTTCCGGAAAGCGTAGGTTAAAATTTAAAAAATGGAACCTGTAGAAAAGAATTACGATTATCTTCCCGTAGTCTATGTTTCATGAGAGAAATTGTGAAATGACAACTCCGTGGTGCAGATAAGTACAGTACGGCCCTGGGCCTGTTGAATTCACCAACCGCTTTCAAAGTTATGGGAGTTTCCAAAAATGGTAAAAATGCCTGGTTGACTTTATTGTCACTATTCAAGATACTTATCCACCAGAAAACTTAATCCGCTACATCTAAATGCCAAATCCATAAATTTCCTATTGCAAGCAAATGTTGGCTGATTTTAAACATGTCCGCAGAATCTCCGTAGTTCTTCTAGCTGCTCGTAAAGTGGTTGCCCGTAAGTGTGGGCCCGCCATGTGGCCTAGATGTTTGTGTGTTGTGTCTAGATGTTTGTGCTAAATTTAGGCAAATCTGTGCTTCGCGCTTTGGGCAATTCCCTTGTAAGGAGACAAAGAATTTTATTACGTTTGTAAGCCTGATACTAACATAATCAAAGTTACGGAGGTTGAAGGTATGTAACTAGGCAAAAAAAGATTATTAACCTCAGAATTAATGGGGGAGTACTCCCCTACTGTACCTAATTTTCATCAAAATTTGTCGGTCTTCATCATTGTATTATTCATTACCAAAAAAACAATTTTTTCCATATTTTTTCTATTATTGAAATACCTACCATCACTCCACAACGAAGTGCAGATCAGCGTCACCGTGTCGGCCATGCTCAATTTCAGCTCCTTAACCTTGTAGACCACGCGGAAAATCCTCTCCATAATTGGCGCTCGCAATCTAACAATCAAAATTAAAATTTGATTAACCGAAACATACTTGATATAGTCTTGGATATGGCTTTCTGGCACATCGTTGGCCAAGTATTCGCACATTTTGTTTCGATCCATGTACAGGTTGGGGAACATGACCATTCTTGAGTCATCGAGGTCTTGGAATTGAAGGGAAGTGAGGTAACTGCGGTGAATAATGCCACTCTGACGCCAGAAGGTCTCGATTAGGGTGATCTGCAAAGCGTTAAATACGAGTTGATCATTTTGAGGTTAGGAATTGGCAATGCCAAAAGATATGATGATTTCTGCAGAGGAGAGACAATAGAAAATGGTGGGGAATGGTCAGAGAAAGAACGTTTTTTTTATATTTTTGTGGAGCTCCGTTAAAAAAGAGCCGGCAATATTGAAAATTGCAAAATAATTATAATATACATGCATAAAGAATGTAACAAAATATTTTTTCAGCTTTTACTGGCACTATCTTTCTGAAAAATCCAATCCAGCATGAACTCACTTTTTGCTGCTGGCTCAAGTTCTTTATAGGATCATAATACCCATCAAACATGTTGAAAAGCAAATGCAGACAAGCTCGTTCAATATTCAACTGCTCCTTCTTGGTGATCAACCTCATCCGCCCTCCACTTATCTCATCTCCATATTTGGCCATCAAAATGGTTTTCTGTGCGTTCAGGAAGATCTCATAACCGCTGATTAGCCGGGCCAAGGTTGGGTATTTGACCTCGAATGGGAGAGATGGATCGGAATTTATTGGGCCGGAAGTGTAAGCCTAAATCGAGAAAAATCAGAAAGATTTAAGGCTGCTTACTCCGTTAGGGCCATAGCCATAGCCGTTGGACTGGCCGTCGCTTTCGTTGGTCACTTCGTCTTCTGAAAAGTAATGAAGATATTTTGAAACAGAAATTTGTAATGCATTTGACAGTCTTTGTGGAAAGTCGCGTACTAATCGGCGATACGCAGCATGAGGAAACAAAACTTTTCTTTGCTCTGTGCAATTATCTGTTTTTTGCACCGTGCAATAAGCTTTTTTCAGCTGTCGTCCCACCGTGACTTTTTTCGCACAGTGCAAGCACCAAAATCAGTCCTGTGCCTTTCCGGAAGGCTATCGCATTATAAGGTTGCAAAACCAGACTCAAAGAACTCTCCACCTCACAGGAGTTAAAAATGGCCGTCATTGGCCATAAATAGCAGCTTTAAGCCAAAAAGCCACAAAAAAAATTACGCATACTGCCCAACTTATTATAGTAAGTTAAAAGTGCCTATTTTTTCATTTCGCTCACCCATGGGGCTAAAAGCCACTTAATCCTGAAGCTTTTAGCTCTAAGTACTGTTTGCGGTGACAATCCCTTGAAGCAACTCACTTTGCATTCCAGACTCGAGACAAGTTCTGAAGCGGCAGGCTCGGCAGACATTCCGCATTCCTCCTAAACAATAATTTCAGAAAGATTGGTTTTTAACTCACCCTTCACTTCACAGTTGTTGTCCCTCCGGCATTCGTAGACTCGTTTTTCAGCAACTGATCGGCGGAAAAATGAAGCGCAGGCTCGGCAGGACTATAATTATGTTATTAAAAGTTCCATTATTCAAAACCCCAGTTGATTTCTTTCAAGATTTATTGTCAAGGGATAATTTCATGTTCGATTTTTTTGAATTTGTAATGTTTTTGTTCTTTTTTACCGCTCAGTTGATCATAAAATCCCAAAATCTATTATAATGGCTCTTCCAAGCTCCCAAAATCCCCCAACAAAACTTGCTTACCTGCACTCTAAAATGATATCCATTGCTTGGCTGCCCACAAATCACACATGCATATTTCGACGAGTTATCGGCCGGATCCGACAGCTCCGTAAACTGGACGTGATTGTTGAAATAAGCCGCCATTTTTGGAATTGGAAATACCTTCAAGTTAAAAATGCTTTAAAAAATGGCTAAAAAAAGGAAAAAGAGAAATTTAATCAAACAAACTTTTGCAAAAGCTCACGTCTTTTTTCGAAGCAAAAAATGAAAATTACAAAGTTGGGGAAATCAATAAAAAAGAGCAGAAAAATGTATACATTTCAGTTTGCTGATGACATTAGATGATATTGGAAAGCTTATATGACTATTTACAACTCGGTACAACGAACCGTAAGAGACAAAAACACATTCTTCATAGACGGACTTTGTTATATAGATTTTCATTTTCGCCAAGGAGTTTCTCTCGGGAATGCTAAAATTGTTCCTTGCAGGCATGTTTTGCTATGTAAGGGGAGAGGTTGTACTATGTATACGAAGCCAAAAATAGTGCATTTCGTCATCTAAGCCGATCTCAGCCCCAATTTAAAGCTTTGGTTTACTGTCTGGCCTTTATATGAGGTTTTTGTCTGGACTTTATTTGAGAGATCCTTTAATCTTAGTCCTAAACCCGCAGTTACAAGAGGCCATAGCAAGCTTTCAGAATGCATTATGACAAATGGAAACCAAGAAATAAGCCCGCCCGCCTTCACGGCAAATGGAGTGTAAATAGTTGGGTAAACAAAGCAATTTTGCAAATAGCGGAGGTAGATGTCCTAAAAGGAGCATTAGATCAACGTCAAAAAAAAGGAATTCTCTCATCAAAGGACCAAATTTTTAAATTCCGTTAGTATCCAAATGCAATGCTTAGTTTTTATTAAAATTTTAAAAAAAATGTGTATACTGAAAGTAGCAAAGAAACCGTTGAATTTGAACCTCAGTAAGCGTCATACTCTGCACGCCTCTGCGGTAAATTTTAGTTCGCGTTTTGCGGCAACAGCTAGGATATAAAGGTGGCCATATAAGTATTTAAAAATTTTTTTCCCAAATCCCGATTTTCGGTGCACAATAAAGTCGACGCCGAAATCGAAAAATTGGCGTCGACTTAATTTTTTCTCGGCACCGAATTCTGAAACCCGGTGCAGCTTTTTAAGTTTTTCAAAATCAGTGCACAAAGCCTTAAGTCTGCACCGAAGGCTTTTAAGTGCTTAAGTCAGCACCGAATTCCGTAATCCCGTGGTAAAAAATTAAGTCGACGCCTTTTTGTGCACCGAAAACCGGGATTTGCGAAAAAAAATAATATTTATATGACCACCTTTTAGTCAACCATCTGTGTAGAAGGTAGGGAAATGAGGAGAGATCGTCAACAGATCAAGAAGATGCCTTCCGGATACAACTATTTGGCTCCTTGTAAAAGAAAAATGGTTTGTGAAAACACTGCAGTCCAAATGACAACTTCCGGCCCAACAACCCGCGAAAAAAACCCTAATTATTGCCGCGTTATTCAACAAAAAGCTTTAATAAGCTTTAATTAAATCCTTGTGGACCTGCCAAAACTCCCTGAAGATCCTAAAATCCCGAAGGATCACAACGTAAGCTTGCATGTACGTATTTAGCATCAATTACCCGGCAAAACCCATACGCATTCAATAAAAATACCCCTAAAATCAAAAAGCCTGGGCTTTTGCCCTTTGAATCGCTGAAAACAAACTTTTTCCTTATGCCCAAAAGGCGCAAAATTGGATTCTTAGTTTACCGATCAGAAACAGATCACAAAACAAAAACCTTTTTCCATCTTGAATACGGAAATCATGATGAAAAAGTAATCGAAAAAAAAGAGAATAAGGCTGTTTATAAACTCCCAAAAAAAGTGACGCAACCCAAAATCTCTATTGTAAAAAATTTTGATGCGGGGAAATAGAAAAATTGAATGAAAGGCTTCTTCCAAATCAACAAATAACCCATTAGTTTGTGCGACTCAAAATATGGCCGTTGCAACGGATTTTAAAGCCTCCGAAAAATAGGGCCTAGTTACAGCCTGAGAGGAGGACAACGTTACTATAGACAAATAAAGTGCTGGAGGAACCCTAAACTACAAAAAAATGAGCAAAAGCTTTCGAAAAATGGAAGAATTTCCTTCTTCTTTCTCGCCCCCCCCCTTGGCGAGGGAAAACGGGGGTCGAGAGACACGGGGGACACGTGAAAAGTCTCTTTTTCTCACGTCTCTCTGCATTTTTTCGGCGGTATTTTTCGCTTACCTGCCCAACGAACTCCCCGCTCGTTTTTTTGTTACCCTTGGGAGTTTTGGGGGCATTTACGTGAAAGGAAGTCTTGTACAAAGCCGTTACTAAGCAATACGAAATCGGGACGACAAAACATAACAAAGATCTTCAACGTGCACAAGAAAAACGTGCAGAAAATTAAGTAAAGATTTTTTTGGTAAAATACGGGTAGGATAAGTTGTTAACTTTGTTGTTAACTTTTTCAAATTTTTTCAACAGGACGCTCAAAGTGCAACGCTTCGATCTTGGTTAAACGTGACACAAATTACATAAGATTGCACTTTTCTTGAGCAAATGCGCAGCAAAAACTGAAAACTTTTATTTGCAAAATTTTCAAAGTTTGACGGTCTTTTGAGAATTTTGAATAAACATTTAGTAGCAAGTTCAAATGCCCCGTAAAACTCCAAAAACAAGGTAAACTTCTACGAAGAGAACGATGATAAATTAAAACTCCTTAGAATTTGAATAAAGTTTTCCATTCAATGATGCAAAAGTACTGACCTTCGTTAGTTGATAAGCGGCCAAACCCTTTTTTATTGCTCTTCCGTTAAAAAAAAGTTTTCTCAACACATAAAACCGACTGTTTTGAAGAAACTCCTTGCTCCAAAATGACTGCAAAACAATGCTCTCTGTTAAATATAATATTACGGACGTTCGTGCTCGTGTTTTATGATGAGCTTTGATGGGGGATTTGTAGTCCCGAATTTTCGTTGGTTTAAGCGTTTGAGAGGACGTAGACCAAAGATCAGAAAAGGTGTGGACGTAGTGCTTTTTCTTTACCAAAGTTTTTCTTTATTAATTTTACGACGAAGTCTACGCTGAAATCGGCAAGGAAAGAGATCAAAGTGCGACGCCTAGATTATAGAAAAAGTGGGCCAAGAATAGGCACCTTAAGAAATTTACGATCAAATGGGCGCCCTCTTATTTCCCGAACTCTACCCTCTAATATTCCACCTCTGCCCTCTAATTTGTAAATAGCGCCCTCTAATATACATAGATGCCCTCTAATCGAAACTGAATTGTGCCCTCTGAAAATCTGAATCGACGCCCTCTAATATGATTTTCCCAAAATGGTATTTTTTCTTCCATAGTAGTGTAAGAATGCATAGTATTAGTGTAAAGCAGTAATTTATGAAAATTTTGGACGAGCCTTCCGGAAAGTCGCCGGACTGAAATTGAAATCAGTCCAGACCCAATAGAGCACAAATTTAAGGAAGATAAAGAATTCTTTACTAATAGAATCTCACTACAGTATATTCCTTGTCCATGAGAACGTAGACCGAGTCCAAGACCCCACCACAACTTTCACGCGAAACTTTAATTAGAAAATTCTGCGGGAAATCGTACAGCTGCCCCAACTTTGTAGCCTTGCTAAGTGCGTCGAGTTTGTAACACCACCAATAAGGTTATACTTCGCTTCCGTCGTCATGGAAGTCTAATGGAGCTATCGGAAAAAAGTTTTAAAGGGCTTATTAAGTACAATTTTATTGCCGATAAATAAAATTTTTAAAGACTTTACAAGTACAACTTTCTGGGCAGGATTCTTTTGAGACGTCTTTCAAAGTTGCTCGAATTAGAATTTAAATATAAAAAACGAAGTTAAAGCTAGCAAGCGCTATGACAATCATTCACTGGGAGGACGATTAAAGTTGCCAAAGTTTCCGTCGCCGCCTGTCGTCGGCGCGTCCGCGGCGACCATCTCCAGGGCTTCCGATCAACGGTGAAGAACCAGGTGTAAAAGTGGGAGCCCTTCAGCCATGGACGCAGAACTCGACAGTGCTCTTCGCCGTGGGTGTTGTGGTATCTCTTCAAATGTATCTTATAAACCGAAACATTTGAGTCCTCACCTTCACTTCACAAGTGCCTCCGGGTTCCATCAAACACAAGTACGTGTTCAATCGTGTGTACTCCCCGGAAATGTTATATCGGAAGCCAACACAATGCCCGTAATCAATATGATCGCCACTGGTCTTCATATAACTCTTGACTCCTTCATTCAGAACAATATGCTGTTCTGGATTCGGCATTTCGGAGGGTTTTACTCCACGGTCTGGAAAAATTATTTGGATGTAACTGGCAACGTTGGCGAAAAAGATGTATATTATAAGGATTTTGCAGCCAAGCCCATGCATAGTGTACAGAGATGATTAGAAAAAAGTGTCGGCGATGCCTTAACGAATGACACGCAAAAAGTTACAGCTGTTTAATCGACGTTACTGAAGCCCCAGGCAACTAATTCAACATTAGGTGTCGTTATTCAGTGTTTTAAGAAGGCTAGTTATCCAAATTTGTATGTGTTATAAATTTTTATAAATTTTTTGGCGCAAGCTTTGTGGAACACTAATGCATATTGGTGCCAAACATGACACATTTCTATTGAAAACCAAAAAAGTTACAGCAATTTTTAAATTGAGGTTATAATTTTGTCCAGCACACTATTTGATACTCCAAAAATGTCATACTTAAAATTTTTGGCAGTTTTTAAACTTAAACTTACAAGCCTGTCCATCCGACAGCGTGTACGCTACATTTTGACTCTGCTGAACTTCCCTTTTCACACAAATCCTCTGGCATTCGTCCAGCTCAACGAAATTATTATTACTCTTCCCACATCCCGTGTAATGGAACCCTTTGCATGTCCCCGACTTTTGATGGTAGTAATATCGATTTGACATTGGCTCACACCACCGGCCTCGATCCAATTTTTCGATACAAGGATCTTTCTTTGGAGGGGGCGCTAAACAATTTTTTGTAGGGTTTCTATTATAGAGCGTTTCCTCACCTCCACCGGGGATTTCGCAGGTGTTCTGGCACTCTTCAAAAGTTGAAAATCGATTCGGATTTCCGCCGCATCCGCCCCACAAAAATTGAGCGCACGTTCCACTGGTCACATTGTAAAACCATTGCTGTCGAAGCATGTTGCAGGGCCCCCAGTCGGGCTGGTATTGGCATTGAGCTAGAATAAGGAGAAGTACGTATAATATTAGTATTGTAATGGTAAAATATGCACGGTACACCTCAAACAGAGAAGTACGGTGACCGGAATAGACTTTTCGCCATCGCTTTTTTACACTTCATCTTGGTTTTTGCAGAGAAGACAGAGAAAAGACGCGCAAAACGTACTCTCTCGCCCCAAAAATTCCCCATTTCTTCCCCGACAAAAGGTTTTTTCGCGTCTTTTTGGCGAAGTTTCTGCCTGGGATTACTGTGGTTGATCCCATGACTTGTTGTGATTTTTTTGAGCCCTAAATCACCATTTCCTCACCTGATTTGGCCGGCTGGACCGCATTACAATGCGCAACACACTCTTCTTTCGTATCAAAATTGTTCGCGTTTCCATTGCATCCAGTGTAGTCAAACTGAACACAGGTTCCTTTGTCCGCCACATAACCAAACTTTTTGATCTTGAAGATGTCACTAGAATCCGGGCAGCTTCCAATTTCAATGGGCTCAAAACAGGAGTTTATGGGTTTATTTTCAGTCGAAATTAGGCCATTCACTGAGCAAGTGTTCTCACACTGTTGATAAGTTTTAAAGCGGTTTTCGTTACCGCCACAGCCAAAGTACCAGAAGCGGCCACAACGTTCTGAAAAATTGTTCAATGTACGTAAATATATACGTCATAATTTCTACAAAACTTTTTGCCTTGGAAGTTGTCTTGAACTACCATATAAAAACCCGCCTATAACAAACAATTTCAAGGCCCAAAGAGTCAGATTTATGCCTAGATGTTCAACGAACCCCCCAGATAACGAATAAATTTATTTTGACCCTTGCGATTTGATGTACAGAGGCTTGACTGGGTCTAACCAGAATATAATAGATAAAATACTCGTTTTCTTTTTTTCTTGTGAAGACTTACGGTACTGCGGATTGTAATAGAAACGGAAACCAGCTTTTCGGATGCAAGTCTTGTTGTGACGCCCGTAACCAGCATTTAGGGGATGGAAGCAGACGGTTTCTTCGGCTGAAAAGTTGCAAATATATATGATGCTTGCAAGGCGAAAGCTTGCAAAAAAATGACATGCTTTGCCAACTTTTTACCCAAAAAAATCTCGTTAAACGAAACAATCAGAAAATTTAGAGAAAAAAATATTTTCTGAATCAATCAGAAAATTTTTAATAATTTTGTGGCCAGTTTTCTGGAAAAACCGAACTTACAATTGATAGTGTTAAACCGATCACAGCTCCTTTTGCATTGATTCAGAGTCAAAAATCGATTGCCATTCCCTCCACAGCCAGAGTACATAAACGGCTCACAGCGGCGAGACTCTTGGTTGTAAAAGTAAGCCGGCAGTCGATGATGACAACTGCCAACCTCCAGCGGCTCTAAACACCGTTCCCCCTCCTTTTCGTCGTTCACTTTTTTCGCTATCGCAATCTCACTGCCTTGCGTCGGAAGGGCTGGAAATTCAACGAAAATAAGTTAAAATGCGTTTGATTACCCGGGCTTTCACAAAGATGAGTACAAGTCTCTTTGTCAACAAAGATGTTCTGCGATTTTCCCACACATCCATCGTACCAGAAGTCTTCACAAGCCCCAGTTTTGTGGTTGAAAAACCATCGTTTCGACCACACTCCGTTGTTGCAAGTTTTTTTATAATTTTCATCAAATCGGTCGAGGCAGTTTACTGAAATTTGATGAAATATGAGAACGACATCGTATATTAATATATACATACAAAACATACATTCGCTGAGGAAATTCATTAATTTTTCTCTGAGGGGAGACCGTCTCAGAAGGAATTTCCTTTGATGCATGTCACGAATTATTTGTCCCCAAGTACAAGTACTTCAGACAGTTTCAAGTCACTTGTAGCTTGATGAGAGACAATCAAAAAGTTGGTCTACATTTGGCGTAAAAAATTTGATTTTCTGGTAGATGCTCTACTATCAGCGCTTTGCAGAAGCGAACAACATTTTTTTTATGTCAAGTGAAAATTATTTGAATTGTCAAAAATTCGACGATTTTTTTGCGAGAGTTAGGACATTGTAAAATTCAAATACTCTTTCCATAAAAAATCAATTTTTTTCGCAAGAAGCTGGAGCCATAATGTGTTTCTTTCACTAACAGCGCTCCACGTTTCGTAAAATCTGTCGGCACCAAAAAAGATCGTTGAATTTTTCCGCCGTTCTTGCAAAGCGCAAGCTCAAACTTTCGGGAATTGATATGGGCGCATTCTCAGCCAGCAAAAAAAATTAAAGAACATATTGAGTGTTACACGCACGACATTGCCCTTGTTAAAATACTTACCCGCAACTTTCTCCTCCTTTTTCTTTTCGCACAACCATTGACAAGTTTCCAGATTCGAAAAGATATTCTGACTTTTTCCTTTGCAATTCCCATACCAAAACATTTTGCAAGACTGCGTATATTGCTCGTAAAAATAGTATTGAGCATAGGATCCGTTCCGAGTGCAAGAGTCTCGATAAGCCGGGTCAAACGGCTGCTCACACACATCTAAATTAAAATTTTTTTAATGGCCAACCCGTTTTTGAGGATAAAAATCAAGTGAATGTGAAAAAGTAATGTTCGTACCTCCAGTCAATCTGGTTGGGGTGGTACAAAGATCCTCGCAATCTTTGTAATTCTCAAAGATATTGCGGGATTGCGCTCGACAACCGCCATAATAGAATAACTCGCACTGTTTGCTTTGATGATTGAAATAGTAGCGAATTCGATAATGAGCGTTGTCACAGTTGTCCAAGTAAGCCTTGTCGAAGGTGTCGAGACAATGAGCTGAAAAATTGAGCTGATTTTTTTTACTGACGAGTGGAATACCAAAGCCTCAGATTTTGACAAAACTAGGCACAAATATGGCAACTTTTAGATCAAAACTTTGGCAAAAATCGATCTTTTGCAAAATCTGAGCATGAAAAGAGTCATGCCCATTTCTGTACCATATAGAGAGCAAAGGATTTGAAAATATGACTTACTAGCCTCCGGTTTCAAACTCGCCCCCTCGCAAGTCCATTGGCATGTCTGCAGGTCCTCAAAATTATTCTTGGCCTTGCTCATACACCCGTCATTCCAATACATTACACATTTCCTCTTATTGGAGTTGTAGTAGAACCGCGGCTTCCAAGGCTGGTTTCCGTTCGAACACGAGCGAGCCAAGTCTTTATCAAACGGTTGCAAACAGTCGGAGGATATCGACAGCGACGATTCTGGCTGTAAATTTTGATTTTATGGTTGTTTAAAGGAAATTTAATTCTGTAAATTGCAAGTTTCTGCATAATGCGATTTTTTTTATTTTAAGAAAATAGCCCAAATTTTTTTTCGATTTTTATAAAAATCATTTTTTTTTTTTATTTTTTTGCCCTCCCTACCGTAGTCATCACCACTTTTTTCTTCTCCAGCATTCCGAACTCTCCAAACGCATTTTCCAACCCATCCAATTCCAATTCATTCAGCCCTTGAGGATGATCACTCTCAATTTTGTCGACGGAATAATGCGATGTGGGTGGGATCGGAGTGGTCATCAACGAAAAATGAGCCTGAATAACCCCAACAGCTTTGGGTTTTGCGAAAAGATCGGGAAGATCGCGGTCCGGATTCGCCATGTAAGTCGGGATTGGCCAATTGGATTTTTGTGGAAGAGGAGTGTAGGGAATGTAGTCGGCTGTGGCGCTGGAAATTTTAAATTTAGTGGTGAATTTGAGAGGAAACGTATAGTTTTACCTCTATTTTGGAGGGCTAACTTTCAAAAATTATATACAGTGGGGGACCTGATCCAGTGGCAAAGAACGTAACATTTTGCATCCGGGAAGTATCAAAAATGTGGCAAAATGCTTCCCTCTCCAAGTGAAAAAACTTCGTTTTAAAAGGCGCTCCCTTTTTCCTCACAAAATGAGCGGGCGCGCTTTTGAAATCTGAGTTTTTTTCACTTGGAGAGGGAGGTATTTTGCCACATTTTTTGATACTTCCTGGATGCAAAATGGTACGTTTTTTGCCACTGGCTCAGGTCTCCCACCGTAATCAACTTTTTATCAAAAAAATTTTTGCTCCCTAAACTTTCTTCAACTCACGCAGTGACATATTTGTATTCGTAGGCGCGGAAATTATCCGGATCCTCCGGATTTATCCCTTCACAGGCTCGCTGACAGGTCGACTTCAAAATAAAAACATTTCTAGACTTGAACTGTTGATGGCCACAAGATGCGTCGAACCAGAACATTTTGCATTTCTTCTGATGGTGATCATAGTAATACCTTTGAGACCAATCGCCATCTCGGCAAGGTTCTCGACGGCGCTCTTCAAATTGGTCAAGACAAATTTCTGAAAAATTGATTTTATCGGGGAAGTGATCCAAGTGCGCTTGGCGCTGCGAATTTCTGGATAATCGACAGTTCGGGTCAATGATATTATGAATCGCCTTGTTCGTCATGAGGGAGGCTAGGCGATGGCTTACTTACAATTAGTAGAAATAACAAGATTAGTCTGGTTCTAGGATAGCTTACCACCTATTTTTGAGGCATTTTACATGTAATCACATCAATAATATCTAGATAAAAGTTACAGACCTCCGTTTTTTGCCGCAAATTTTGGTCTTTTATGTATTGCAGTAACTGAGGGTAAGGAAAACTGACTTTAGTAATACTAAAATTAGAAAAAGTGGACATATTGCAACTCTTCGCCAAGCCTCCGCCGAGTTTTTGCCGAGTGTCCGACGACCATTCAACAGCTTTGCCAGGCCTCGAAGGCATTTCCTACAACCTTTTTTTTGTTTATAAACCTATCCTACGCCCCGCAACGATCGATTTTTTGTTGACCCGAACTGTCGTCGACCCGAAAAGTCGGGCCCGCGCCGCTCAGATTCCGATGAAACTGCTCAGATTTCGTTTCGTTGAAATGTATTAAAACGTATTATTTTTTAAAAAAAATCGATAAAAATTAACCTGGCAGTGGCATTGCGGTTGTGGTCTCCCGATATCTTCGAGTTGTTGTCTCGGGTGGGAGATAGTTTGAACACATCGTCTGGCACGTCTAAAAGGACACAAACATGTAATTTATAAGATTTCTAACAAATGAACATAACGTATTTTACCTGAATATCCTTGAAGAAGTTTCCACTCTCCGCATATTCACAACCGCCGTACCAGAATTGCTTGCAGGCATTGGCTTTCAGGTCGAAAAAGTATCGCACACCCCAGGACTGCGTGGAAAATCCGCAACGGTCTTCGTAGCGGTGGTCAAAGGCTTGGCCGCAAATCGCTGGAATAGTAAAGTGTTGTAAATTACACATGCTACTGCCAATCAATTATCTATTATCTTTCACATAAAAAACGCCGAAGGTACCTCCAAGAACTCATTTTTTTATAAACTTATTTCTTGATAAGTAAAAGTTTCAAAAAAATTTTTTTGTGTCTTCTCGTTTTTTGTCGACTCGACCGAATACGATGTTTCTATTTTACCTGTATCTTTTGTGCAATTCAGCGCTGTTCCAGCGAATCCAACTGGGCACTCGCAATGAAACGAACCCTCCGTGTTGACGCACACCGAATTCCCAGGGCATGTCGTCCATAGACATTCATTTGTGTCTAAAAATACCAGCTCAGTCAGCAAATTCATCCCAAAAAAATTATGCTTTCCACATTTCTTGAAACATCCCTTAATTTTTTCAAAAATTTTCGTTTATCTAAATATACCTTTGCAAACCTCCTTGACCATTTCATAGCCCTTCCGGCATTGGCAACTGCCATTCAAACAGACTCCATTATTTTCATGACATCTCGCGCAGGCAGTAATATTCATCTCAGATATCGTTGGATCTAGAATTTCCACAATCAAACTTTCAACTCAACTACTCATGCCAACGCTAGACCCCGTATTGTACCTTTAAATTTTGCCTTGATCTTCGTCTTCGTCGGCTTCCAATCCGGCTGACATCGTTGACGGCAATGTTCCGCCGACACAAACCGATTTCCATTACCGCCGCAGCCACTAAATCAGAATTATTTCAGATATCGAATCCGCAATATAAATCAAGATTTTTAGTCCAACCAAAAACCCTTACGTGTACACAAATTTATGGCATAATTTGGTGTTCGGATCATAATAATATCTCGGGAATTCCCTTGAACAATGTCCTGGATCCCATTGCAATTCGCAAACTCCTCGGCCTCGTTCCACGGAGACCATGTACCTGCGGGCGAACGCCAGGTCCGGGCCAAACGTGGCCGTGAGCAAAAGGTTTACAAGGCCGATCATTTCGGCTAGCCATATGTCATCACTTTTGAGTAATCTGAAGCTTTCTTACTCATTGTGAAATCCAAAGAAGAGGTTCAGGAAATCGCGCAAAGGCAAAAGCAAAGCATACATTTTAAGGGCATTTTCGAGAATTTTAAGCTACCAAAACTCTGCGCTTTCTCTGACCGTCCCTCTTATTTTTCCACATTCTATCAACAGGAAGATCGTTGAGCTCAACTTGCAAATCGCTAGCTAAAATTTTCGGTAAATTGATTTGTGGTCGAGGTTGAGGATATGACCAAAATTTGGATAAATTTTGCGAATTTTCCTTCCCTCTCTATACAAAATGGACCTACAATCAAGATTTTTTAGCAAAAAGGTTGCCCCCATTGTATTTACTTTTCATTTGATTGCCCAATAACTTTCTTCTCCCCTTGACTAGCCATCTAAAACTTTAATTTCGAGCTAATTTTTTTTCGAAAAAAAGTAAATTACTATTTTTATGTAGTACTAGCTCAAACCCAAAAAAAATCTAAACTCCTAAACCTAAACTATCAAGATGACCTCCTCTCCGCTCCTTCAAACTTAACGTTCAGCCCCAAATGAAGTTGATGTGTACGAAGGAGTAAAACGAACTCCCAATGGGGAAGTATAGTTCCTCGAGTTTATTTCATCCCGAAAATATAATCAAAAAGAATTTGGGTTGACAAATTCCAAGAACTTTCTTTGTACCAGCATATGATGGACAGACATTGTAAATAGATGCAGAAAAAGTGGTCTTTAAGATTATGTTTTTGTACAAACATTGTGTAAAAATTTTTTTAGGTCAGAGAATCATATGTCAAAGGTAGGGTGACAGATGGATTTGTTTTGGAAGGATGGGATATTTCGGAAATCTTGGGATATAATAGTGATCAAATGACTTGAAAAATGAAAAATTTGCAAAAAACTGGACATCCAAAAAAGATTTATTTCTCGATGCTCAATTTTTTTGCATATTTATCCAGGAGAATCCAACTAGTCCGCATATCAATCGCTGAAAACATCAGCTCGTTCCCTGCAGGCGCAGCAAAGAAATTCAACATTTCTCAAAGCCGAGAGAGCACAGAAAATAAGGAGAGCTATCCATGGTCTCTCCTCAATTGAATATCTCTGTTGCTTCTGCAAAGGGCGAGCTAACGAGAGCCTGTCCATGTCAATACAACGTTTTTAAAGGCCAATGCCAACCATCGACGCCGGAAGTCTTAAAAAACAGAAGCTTTAGCAACTTTTCCACAAATTTCATCAAAATCTAACCGCTTCGCGAAAATCGAATTTTTTGTTTCGTTCTTTTTTCTTTGTTTTTGCCAACCTTTTCCCTAAAAAACCACCGTAGAGCGCCTCCTCATCCTTTTTTTACACCGTTAATTTATTCAAAAAGCCATTTGAAACGCTCCTAAGAAACTTTACAGCCCCAAAGGTCATTTTTTGTAACAAAAAAGACAAACAAAATATTTACCAACAATGTTTATAAAAAACAGATATATCTTTCCCGCAACAAGCACTTCGCCCAGCTGAAAAGAGTTATTCCAAATCCCTGAAGAAGGCTGTAAAACATGAATCATAAGTGTCATTCGGATACGTCTTCTTGACGCGTAACTGACAAATAAGCGACGTTTAAACGGCGCGCATAATATACCGCTTATTGCGGGGAGACTGTTGTTGGTTTTTGGTGATTTTTGAGGAGTCAAAAAAACTTTTATAAAAGAAAAATACCTTCAAAAAACCTAAATTTTTATATCGAAATGCAAAGATTTGATTTTTAATCGGATTACAATGTCCATGTAGTCCCATTTTATCGTCATTTTTAGGGCAGAAAATAAATTTTCGAGGCAAATGAGAGGCCAAAATGAAAAAAAAACTAATTTTTCACGCGCTCTGACCAAGAAAACCCCGGTTTCTGCAAAGCAACACGCAAAGCACAAGTTAAAAAAATCTCGCACATGTCTCCGAAGCTCTAACCTTCAATTTTGCCAAGTTTCATCGCAATCTTCTTACAAAGAGCATAATGTTGCAATCAAAAATCTTGAAGCTGAAGCCAAAAAAATTGATTTTACTGTAATCCAATTCATTTCTCTCTGCGGAGATGCAATTTTCCAAACAAAATTGAGCTCATTATTTTCCCGACAGACTGAAAATGACTTCATCAACTATATAGTAACCCTCCCTTTCTCTCCCAAAAAAAAAACTCTGTGTCGAAAAAAGGTAGCCCTTTATTCGTGCCGAAACGAATAAAAAACATTTTTAGCGGCGCGAGGTGTCTTGTAAACCGTTTCCTTCCCAATATCCAGCTCGTTTTTCTCTAATTTTATTTCCGAAACTTGAAGAACCCCGTGATCTGAATTGAACCCTCGCGCTCGCCTCGAAACGGGCATCCGCGATTACCCATTATAATTTTACGATTCTCCAGGAAGGGATGCTAATAAACATGCTGCAACAAAATCTCGTGTTGGCGGTTTTATGACTTCGAGAGGATATTTAGGGCATAAGTTATGAAAAATGATCAAAAATTAAAAAAGATCTCGTTGGAAAAAGGTTTTCCGACATCTCTGTCTTCGGGAAAAGTGTCAGCTTCTGTTTCTTTAACAACTCTCGATGATAAAATCTTGACTATTTCCGCAAAACGCAATCTAAAAATCCAGCATATGACTTATAGTGACGGACCTGATCCAGTGGCAAAAACTGTACCATTTTGCATCCGAGAAGTATCAAAAATGTGGCAAAATGCTTCCCTCTACAAGTGAAAAAACTTCGTTTTGAAGGGCGCGCCTTTTCCCTCCCAAAAGAGCGGCCAAAGTCGGAGCTTTTTCACTTGGAGGAGGAGGTATTTTTCCACATTTTTTGATACTTCCCGGATGCAAAATTGTACGTTTTTTGCCACTGGATGAGGTCCACCACTGCGGAAAATTTAATTCTTAATTTGTATCAAGTTTTATCAAAAATTTTTATCAAAAATCGTGAAATGTGGAATCTAAACTTTCTGAGAAAGACTCTTTATTTCTACATTTCAAGCCTGCATCCATCAAAATTTTTTGGCCGATTCTTTTCTTCGACCAAAAATTTGAAGAACTAAAGTTTATTTTTCCCTTGAAAAGCACACAACTACTATGTACAAAATCAAAAAAAAAACAAAACAACAATGTACGGCTATTGTAAATCCGCCGGCGCTTCGATAATTTTAGTTTTTATGACCGAACTTTTTGACTTTTGCGCGCGCCGAATTATCCTGCAAAAACAAAATGGGAAAACGCGCGTATTTGTTGATCTTGTTTAGACAAAAATACTTCGAGGATAATGCATAAAGTGCAATCATGTAGAAGGGTCAATGGAAATTGAGAAGGGTGCTGGAATATGGCTGTTTGAGGATTTACGACAAAAAATTCTCAAGCATCCATTTTCGAAAATTATGTTCGAAAACTTGCCCAGCTTTGCTTCATCCGATATTCCACGAAAATTAAACATTGTTCCTAGGCACAATGTTTAACACATCAAGTCCTCACAATTTTAGCTCGCGCTCTGCAGGGACAGCGGAGATAATCAATGATCTTTGCCGACGAAGGAGTGCGCGAAAAGCGGAGAGCGGTCAGAGAGACAACAGGGAAGTTTGGCCATATCTTTACAAAATTTGCGTAGAAGAAAGATGATGCTTCTGTAGAAATGTTGTAACAGGAAAACCAAAGTACCCGTTGTTTTCCAATATTTCTACAAAAAAAATCATCTTTTTCCCCGCGAGTTTGGCAGAGGTATGGCCAAACCCATCTTTCTCTCTGACCGCTCTCCGCATTTACAGGGTGTTTCAAGAAATTTGGAACAAATGATTTGCTTATATCTTTGTGTTCTTTGCAGCTATCAACGAATTTCTTTTTGCTTCTAAAAATTGACAGCGTGCGTTTTTAGAATCTCAAAAAAAGTTTTTTTTCGTCGGCGGAGGGCCCATTTCTCGGCGGAGAAAATTAGGGCCTTTTTTAAAAATCACAGCGTATTACGTGGCGGAAACGCCGTTGCAACGGTTGAAATCAAGTTTACGTTACACCTCCGTCGATTTTACGGTATGCATTTTTTTGTTTTCGATTTTACGCGCACCGCGGAGGCGCGGCGGAGACTTCAGATTTCGGCGGACGTTGTTTTGGGCCTTCGGCTGTTGCAATTCATGTTGGAAAAGAGTTTGGGGTGATTTTTTGTCGTCATCCGATGCACAGATGACAAAAATTTCGTGCTTTTTTTCCCCGGCGGAGAATTCGGCGGAGGCTTTATCAAAGGGTCAAAGCAGTCTTACGAGTCCGGGAAAAATCTCAGCTACAAGAATCCATCAGAGCAGCATTGTCTTTCAAAGATTTTTGATTTTTTTGGTCCGGCGGACAAATCGGCGGAGTTTTGTTTTTACCCTTTGATAAAGCCTCCGCCGACTGTTCCGCCGGGGATAAAAAGCACGAAATTTTTGCCATCTGTGCATCGGATGACAACAAAAAAATCACCCCAACCTCTTTTCCAACATGAATTGCAATAGCCAAAGGCGCAAAACAACGTCCGCCGAAATCTGAGGTCTCCGCCGCGCATCCGCGGAAGTGCGTAAAATCGAAAACGCAAAAAAAGCATACCGTAAAATCGATGGAGGTGTAACGTAAACTTGATTTCAACCGTTGCAACGGCGTTTCCGCCACGTAATACGCTGTGATTTTTAAAAAAGGCCCTAATTTTCTCCGCCGAGAAATGGGCCCTCCGCCGACGAAAAAAAACTTTTTTTGAGATTCTAAAAACGCACGCTGTCAATTTTTAGAAGCAAAAAGAAATTCGTTGATAGCTGCAAAGAACACAAAGATATAAGCAAATCATTTGTTCCAAATTTCTTGAAACACCCTGTATTTAGCAAACTCTTTCGTCGGCAAAGATGATTGGATATCTCGGCAATCCTTGCAAAGTGCGAGCTAAAATTTTTGGCAAAATGAAGTGTTACCTTCATGCAGATTTTAAAAAAATCTGAGCGTCCAATATCGATCACATTATTTCTGACAAAATCAAAACCCCAACAAATCGAAACTTCCCCAAACCCTCCAAGAATGTTCCCCCCCCCCCCACTATTAATTATTCTGTTATCTTACAATAACAGACGGGGTATTTATATCGCCCCCACTCAACGAACGTCACTCTTACGCATTCCAATTTCTCGATTTCTATTGTAGTCCGCTTATCACAAGGCGTATTTATGCATTTTTTGCTTTTGAAAGATCGCTTCTGTTTCGGATTTTTTTATATTTTTGTGTGATGAGTAATTAGATAATTGCATGGTTGTATAAATTTGCTCGGAATTTTAGTAAAAATTAGCATGTATTTTAAAATTTTTTGGATGACGTTACACAAAAACATTGAAGAAAGAAAAGTGGAAATGGGAAGACGGTCGCAGTGGAACTGTTTTGGCCCATTCCATTGTCAACTTTCCATCTAGAAAATTCAAAAAAAAATAATTTTGTGGTCACTTCGACCTGAAACTTGACGGTTTCTTCAAAATAAACACAGTGGCGGACCTGATCCAGTGGTAAAAAACGTACCATCTTGCATCCGGGAAAAAATGGCTCCCTCTCCAAGTTGGAGAGGGAGCCATTTTGCTACGTTTTTTAATATTCCCCGGATACAAAATGGTACGTTTTTTGCCATTGGATCGGGTCAGTCACTTTATATCGCATATATTTTTAAAATCTTTGTCTTAAATTGTCCCAAGTTCCAGCAAAATCTGAGTGTCGGCCCTCGAAATTACCATCCAAAAAAGTAACCCTCTAAAATAGTAAACCTCAAAAAATTCCGGCGGAACCTGAGAACCAGTCCAAAAAATCCGAGTTCACCATGCAACAAAACCCTTCCTGTCGGAGAAATGATCCCCAGAAATGAGTCAAAGATCCACCAACGCCGCGGAATGCCTAATCATATTGGAAAATGTCGGGAAGAGAAGTGAAGAATACGGCGGTTCATTTCGTATGCATTTATGAGTGACACGAACAAGTTCATGAAGCGATCGGTATTAATAAATTCAGGGGAGCATTGTTACTGGCGGTTGGAAACGGGTAAGAACAAGATTTCAGAGAATCGAAAGTTTTTTAATACACAAGTAAAGCAAAAAATCCAAAATAAAGTGTGAGGAAGTGTAAACCAACAAGAAAAAATTAACGATCGGAAAAAATCACAAATATAATTTATTAACAACGTGAAAAATTGGTTTTATGTACAACAAGTGAGTAAAATGATATTATCCATGACAAAACAAATCAAAAAGCGTGTGAAATTAATTGTAAGACACAAAAACCCGAATAAAAATTATTAATAGCCGGTCATAATCGGGCCCAATTTGAGGTTAAGAAAAAGATCAATGTTCTCCTTGATGAATTCTTCATTTTCCTTGAACACCTCGTCCCAATGGAGAGTGGTCAGCTTCTCCATCTCTCTCTTTAAGACGGGCAACCCGATTTCTGACGCCTTGAGTAGATTCCGCGCAAAATTGGATTGCTTTGCCCAAAATGTGTACTGATGGTCGATCTCCGCCTAAAATGATACAAAAACTCCTTTAATCCACGAAAGCCTTGACGAAACATGCTGCTAATAGAAACTTATCTCTGCATAGCATCTAATTTTCTGTTTCATCAGCCTAAATACCAACAAAAAATATCAAAATTTCAACCTACCATAAACGCCGGAGCGCCAAGTACTTCTGCCAAATCCATCATTTCGTCGCCAATTGTCCACCACTCAAACGGCTTCCGCGTCCACATGAACTCCACTGCCATTTTGAACCCGTCAAGCCAGAAATTCTCAATTAAAATCTGGTTTTCTTCAGGGTATCTCACAAAAAAGGCCCGAAAACGAGGGAAAAATTCAGCCAACACAGATTTTGATACCTAAAATAAAAGAACGACAAAAAACATGTCAACATTATTCAATAAAACTTTTAAATAACACTTACTTTCAGCTCTCCATCCTTACATTTCACTGTAACATCGCCGAAATTGTAGTAGTTATGGCCGAAAACCATCTCTTTAATCCATGGGGTGACTTCTGGTGGGCACTTCTGGATTCTAGCATACACGTAGATGTATATGGGCTCCATATCGCCGAACATCTTCTCCTCTCCGTTAAAATTAGGGACCCATTTTTTCATGGCATCTCCTTCGTACCTTCGCTCGCAACTTCCTGCCTTTCCCACATACCGAACCCTCAGGTTTGCCAAATATCCCTCGATTTGCCCTCCGTAGTGCAGGGTCCAAGTGAAGGCGCGAGATGATATATGAGAGTTTATTTGTTGTTGGAACAGTTCCTTATTTCCGAACTTGGTACTCCAAGTGGAGCAAGACTGATAAACCGGCCATATAAACGATGCTATCTCCTAAAAATAAATGAATATGAATCGGTTGAGCATTTCCCGTCTAAATATCAAAAATTCCACCAAAAAAGTAGTTAAGAAACTCACCTCCGGATATTTTTGCAAGTCTTCTTTCTCTTGAGCAGTCAAAACCGACGAGAAATCGATGTCCAACGACGAGGATGCCTGAAAATAGATAAAGCATGACAGAACATGATCAAAAATCGTAAATCTCAAGTCAGTTACGCAAATATTGCAGCAAAACGCAACAAAGAGCAACAGAACACCTAAATCCACCTAAGCACTAATGGAAAAGAGTCTAAACCCCGTCAAAATTCAAGCATAGGCATAGCATACGAATAAGAAATAGTAGGTAATGGCTATTAACAAAAAACATCAATTTTTCCCACAGATGCCTAGAACAATATAAAAATTGGTGTCAAAACCCAAAAAAAATACAACAAGTTCAGCAGAATTGCAACAAGAGTTCTATTTTCCTTATTCAAAATTACATAACACAAACAAAACCATCGCTAAACTCACGCACACCTTTTCGTCAATCGTCTTGTCGAGATCCGTATTTGCTTCGGAAACCATAGAGGAGCTGTCAAATTCTACGCGGAGTTCTTCAAGTTTTTCTTCGGCATCAAGAACGGAAAAGCTTGAGTTAGTCGAGGTTTCTGACATTTTGCGTCTGCCTCCACGAGCAGAAAATTATCGAATTTATGAAGCCTTTCAAAAAATGGCCTAAATGCATCGGAAAATCAATAAAAATGTTACGGAATGTCAACCACTGACATTCTTACGTCAGCATAAAATCATCGAGATATATTGGCAGGACTTGTATCACCCGCAAAACGTCAAAATAATACTGGAAAATTGGAAGCTCAATAGTTTATTAATGAAATTGTGAGAAACAAAATATTAACAAAAAAATATGTGGTTATGGGAAATGCAAGGTTAACAAATAGATGTATAATAATAAAAAACAGAGTATGGGCCAAGAATTTTGACTCAATGCGATGCCATGATCCTAATAAAAAACTCGGCGTTCTTCATGATGAGCTCGGTGTGGTCCTTGAATTTCTGATTCCAGACGGATCTAATCAGCTTCGGCAAAATTGCTTTCATCACAGGATAGTCGTAACGGTCAGCCAATATGGCGAGTTCACAAATTTCAGCAACCCAACCATGGAAAAAGAAGTGGCAATCCACATCCGCCTAAACAACACCATAAAATTTGAGGCAACGTTGGCGCCTTACAATCAGCATTACTGGTCCCAGAAATTTAAACAACTTGAACCATGCTTCTGTCATAGGATGATCAAAGGGAACTTGCGTCACCACACACTTCATGAGTTTCTTGAATTCGTCGACGCCTAGATTTGGGAACGAAACCTGTTTGTCCTCAGGGTATCTGTCAAAAAATGCCCGGAAGTAGGGGAAAAACTCCGCCAGGATTGCTCGCGACACCTGCAAAGTGAAATGTTCAGCGTCACAACGAGCGCAGTGTGCCGTTGAGTAAAAAAGGGGATCGGAGAAAACCCCAAAGCTTCGCTTTATTGACTAGCCAATTTCGAGGGGAATCAGAAAGCTTCTAACTTCGAAATGTTGCACACAGTGACGACCTGATCCAATGGCAAAAATGCACCATTTTGCATCCGGGAGGTATCAAAAACGCAGCAAAATACCTCCTCTTCAACTGAAAAAAAACTCCGATTTCAAAAGCTCATAGGGCGCGCCCTTCAAAACGGAGTTTTTATATTAGGTTGGCTAATAAGTTCTTGAAATTTTTTACGATTTCTTCTTTGTGCCAAAACTTTTTCGCGTTTGACAAACAATAACTGCTATACCCATGCTTAGTAACTGTCACATAGTCCCTACAATACCAATGCTGAGCGACGACTTCAGCAGGCATATCAAAGGAGTTAGGCTTAAAATCTGTTTATGGAGTCACTTTTTGGATGTTCAAATGTATTAAAGTTTCTGCCCTGAAGACAGTGCGCTAGTTTATGGAACTGATGTCTGTTATAGTCGCCGATGCTCAAGCTGTAAAACTGTCGGGGAAGTGGATCCCATTCGAAATGTTTAGAAACTTTTTACTAACATCTTTGTGGCGCATGGCTTTACGCGTCGTCCCGGTATCCCAAACGGCGGTTTTCTTTTCGCCCGCTGCCGGCAGCTGGCCAAGGTAGCATGTATAAACACCTTTCGTAACTGTGTTACCATTTGGTAATAACGGCAAGAGCGTAGGCCTATGACAATTCCAAGAGCGACTCAAAAATACCCTCCTGGAGATGGACTGTTTCTTGGATCTGAACTTCAGAATCCTGCACGTCAAGTCATTGGCTTTTGTATACATGGTTATAATACACGACATACTTCTCATTAACGAGCACTAGTTGGGCTACTGAGATATATGTTTGGCTAAAAGGCAGCATTTTTTAGATGGACTCACTGTTGAAAACCGGTCAAGCCCTAATGATAAATTTGGTCATATCTTCATATTGTGTACAAAAGATGGAAATGTTTTTGCGTCATACGATACACGTAAAGCTGCTCTGTGTATTAATTCGCACAAGCTTCAATAGCAATCCTTAACTATCTTCAAAATGGTCCCGCGGTCTTATTATGAACTAAAGTCATAGTCGCCGTTAGTGAGCCTTTAGGACCAGTACACTACCGTGGCATTGTTAACGATGTTCAGGCCTTATACTCTGTTTAGTTGGGCTATAGAACCGGTTGGTGTCAGACCTCTTTAAGCGCTGTAGAAGAAACCACCTCAAAATATGATCTTTTTCAACATGCAGTTATAAAACCTTGGCAAAGGCTGTGACCTGGTTGCCTCTCTACTTGACAGTACTCAAGCTCTACTACAAGTTATATATTGCTGTCCTTGCTAAACTGTCCAAAAAGACCGTGGTGATAGAGAGAAAAAAATTTCAAGAACTTATTAGCCAACCTAATAGTTGGAGACGGAGGCTTTTACTACATTTTCCGATACTTCCCGGAAGCAAAATGGTACGTTTTTTGCCACTGGATCAGGTCCGTCACTGTATGCAACAATGCAAAGACTTTTTTGATTTCCCTAACGCCGTTTCCCATGAATTATCTTGGCCCTAAATTAAGAGCTTTCCCAAAAAGAATTACGACACGCTTCATCGAAAAAAATGCAAACCTTGGTTTCACCATCCTTTAGTTTTACAACAAAGTCGCCGAGTTCGTAGAAGTATGGCCCATTCACAAAGCCCAAAGTCCATTGCCTTCCTTCATGTACTCTTTGAGTAATCCTGCCGTAGAAAAGTATGTTCAACACATCAAAGTCTTGGCACTTGAGTTCGATTTCCGCCTCCCACGACTTCCTGGCGTTTCCAATATAAAAATCATATTCACATCCATCTCCAGTGATCTGGATTTCGTATTCAGCACGAAAATTCACCAGATCGCCGTTATAATGAACAAATACACGGACTTCTCCAGAAAGAGACACCTCCAAGCAAAATTGGTTTGAATCGCCAAACACTTTCCGATATGTTCCTTGGCCCATCACCACACGGCACTCCGTAACTACAAACCGCTAAAAATAACCGAAATTACTTAGTTACGGAGCGGACCTGATCCAGTGACAAAAAACGTACCATGTTGCACCCGGGAAGTACCGAAAACGCAGCAAAATACCTCCTCTGCAAGTGAAAACGCTCCCATTTCAAAAGCGCGTCAGCTATTTTTGTGAGGGATAGCGAGCTGTTCAAAACGGAGTCTTTTCACTCGCAGAGGGAGGTATTTTGCTGAGTTTTTGATACTTCCCGAATGAAAAATGGCAAGTTTTTTTGCCAGAGACCCTCCCCTGTACGGCATAAAACATCTTTTCCAAACAAAAATACTATTTTTTCCCACCTTCGGATACTGCGCCAGCTCTTTTTTCTCTTCATCGGTCAGATAAGGTAAATAGTCAAGTTCTGGTGGGGATTCCATCTGAAAAAACAAGGGTACTAAATCATAATTTTTTTTCATACGAATTTCGTTTCAAAGCCCATTCTAGCTCACATAAATCCCAAAACAACAAACTAACTTTGCTTTTTTAAAGTATACCTAAAGTAATACAGCAATCCAAAAAATTGAACCAAATTGATGTAATTACCTGTTCATTGACCGTTCTGTCAAGAACATCGACTGTGCCTGTTTCGGAAACCACAGAAGAGTTATCAAATTCGTTTGAGTCTATAGTGAGGTCTCTTTCTTCGCCATCAACCACCGAGAAACTTGATGTAGTCGACAATTCCGACATTTTACGTCCTCCTCGACGATAGTGCTAAAAGAAACTATTACTGAAAGCAGATGAAATGATATACGGGCATTACGACCGGAGTTCGACATTTATTAGTCGAATTTACCCGAGAATTCTCGGATATCGCGCGAGAACCAAGAATTGCTTCGACGAAAACAAAACAAATCGATATTTCGGATTTTTTTGGCAAAGTGTCACTATTGACTTTTTTCACAGTTTGACATTTTGCGCCGCGGCGCAAAATTCTTGTGGCTCATAAACGTGTCAGCCCGTCTTTGTTGTCGATTTTCAGCTGATGTGGATTTGACTAGGGTTTGCTGTTAGTTATTTTAGTTTATAGACACTCCGACGGATATTTTGTATTCTTTATCGAAGACAAACAAGTGCAGAGAATGGATTTTCTGCACCGTGAAACTTTTAAATACCTCCGAACTTGCCATAAATAGTCATTAAAACCAGCGGAAGGTTCTCGGTTTGTAACAGGGAAAGCAATTCAATTCATATTTAGCAAAAATTTGTTTTTATACATCATAACCAAGTAACGATAAAACCTCAGATAAAGTTGCTTTATTGGTAAATAAGAAAAAAAGTTCAGCCGTCAAAATCACCGAGAATTGCGCTTTCTGCGCAATAGATTCCAGAGCGTTCTGAGCTTTCCTCCTTCAACTTTGGGTATGCTTGACCTAACAGGTGGAGTCTGGATTTCTAAGAATAGGTCTATGTTCTCCTTGACCAGTTCAGTGTGTTTTTTAACAAAATCGTGCCAATTAAGCCCAATTATCTTCGCCAGTTCCATCTTTGCTATTGGGTAATTGAATTTGGAGGCCAAAACAAAATCTTGGCAGATATTTTTCTCGCTCATTGCTAGCCAATGATCCATTTCGGCCTGGAAAAGATACAATGTTGAGCTTCAAGAACTTACAATTAATGTTGGAGCCCCAAGAAGCTTTGCTAACTCGGGTAGGCCAACTTCCTCATAACCATGATGTCCAAGTCTTCCAGTTGTCACAAATTGCACCGCATATTTAAAAGTCTCGACGTAGAACTCAGGAATTGCGATTTGATTTTCTTCCGGGTATTTGTTGAAAAACGCACGAAAGTAGGGAAAAAATTCTGCGAGGACAGCACGGAAGATCTAAAAGACGTTTTTGTCATCATTGATTGCCGCCAACTTCCTACCGTGACATTTCCGTCTCTCAATTTCACTGTAAAATCGTTGAACTTGTAAACATTTCCGCGATCAACAAACCGCTGAACCCATGAATCGACCCCCTCCGGTTGTCTGATCATCCTGGCCAAGACATAGATATAGAATACATCTTGTGATTTGACGATCTTTTCATCTGTAGTAAGAGTGACCCGAGTCCGTTTTGCTAGGCTTGTATAACTCGCCACTCCTTCCAAGACTTCCTTCCCGAAAACTCGAACGGTGTAATCCGCGTAATGGTCGTGTAGCAATACACCACAGAAGCAGTTAATCGTCAACTGTATCCTTCTGGACCCCAAAGTTGTAAACTCAAGTTGGTGACGATCTTCCTCTCCGAATTTTGGACTCACGCTTCGAGTGCCAGCTACAACTCGCCAAATAATCGAGGAGCATAGCTAAAAAGTCTACGATCATATAAATATTATTTCAAAAATACGAAATTTTAGTCTCGTTATGGCCAGAAATTCAACTTACACGTCTGTGTTCGGACAGATCATACTTATCATCTACATCCAAGAACGCGGAATAGTCAAGGTCCGGCGAAGTGACAGTCTAAAGTGGGGATTGATTACACAAAAAGGAAAATATTATTTCTGTCAACTGTGTGTGTATTTTGAAACGGTCGAGCGTAGTATTAAAACTTGCCTCTTCCACTTGAGAAGATACCGAAGGTATCTCTAATTCCGCTTCAGAAGCTATCGAAGAACTCTGTAATTCTGCTTCAGAAGCCACCGAAGCCCTCTCTAGTTCTTTTGAATTCACACTCAGTAGATCAACTCTTTCGTCGTCCCCAACAACACTATAGCCAGATGCGATTGAGGGGCCCGACATTTCGATACAACTGCTGGTGACTATGGACGATATGAGCGCAAGAAAGGAACGCGAGCCTTGTCTAAAGCAGAAGAAATGGTTGGAGAAATTGCGCAACCAAAACACCAGCACCCGTATGCAAACGTTATGTATAAACCAAATAACGCGATAAAGCAGGGTCCTCGATGGGGGCGTGTTCCTTGTGAGCATACCTGTTCGGCACAAATATTGGGGCAAAAGGTAAAGAAAACCAATCATAGTGGTACTTTATTCGGTATACCAGACTAATTTACACTAATTTCATCGAAAATTTTTTGATTCACTTGATAAAGTAGACGGATTTGGCTCCGGTGACGTCGTGGGATTCCTCAATGGACAAGCTTTGGACCTTCAGCCAATAGGGATGGGTGTGGCAGACAGTGTAATCTCGCATATCTTCGGCTTGATACTGACTGGGCTTGTCGAAAACGATCTCCTTACCATTATCCGGCTGATCTCCATATTCGTTGAGCTCATTCAGCTCGGGTTGTTGGTAGAAAGACTTGAAATGGACTTGAGGTCTCTCTAAAAACTCAAAAATATTATTTTAAACGTCCAAAAAAAGGTTTTTTTCAAATTCTAATTTTTCCGCCAAGCATTGGCATTCTCCAACAAGGTTTGAAATGGATTTGGAAGGCTTATGTAAACTATGAAAAACGATATTTGGAATCTTTTGAATACGATTTTACCTCTGATAGCGGGTTCGTCCTCTGGCCCGGGACCCAACCTGGCTCGCATCTCGCCAACACTAATGAAGCTCTGGGTATTGTACGAATCGGCAGTGCGGAACGAACTAAACGAAGCATTGGCCTAAAAAAAATATTTTATTTATCCGCAGTTCCACAACATCCAAATCTCGTCTTTTGAGGCAATAACCCCAAAAATTGTATTTCATTAATTACCTGGAGCTCTCTCTTGTCCGTCTGGAAGTTTTCTTGCTTGGCGGGCTGCAAAATAGTGCTCTCGTCGGTGTCCAGCGAGGAGACGTTGCCGGCAGTGCAGTCACCAGCTAAAATTCGAAAAATTAACATCAATGCAAAGGGAATGAGCGAACGCAATTTCACCGTCCTAAAATTTCGAAAACAACCCACGGCAATCAACGCCGTAGAACTTGTGATAAGCACATGGCACTTCTTCGATGCCCTCCCATTGAATGGCAGTGTGAGCACTCAGAATGTCCAACTCCTCGAGATCGTATTCCAATTCGTCGGATGTTGTTGAAGTTTCCATCGAGGTCACTCTGAAAACGGCCACAGATCCTACAGAATCTTTTTGATTTCAAGAAAACGAAATTCATTCAAGAAAACGTTGTTTTAGCCCGTTTTTGGAAAAGTTAACATCGAAGAACCCCACGAAAAGCGACAAGAAATACAACTCACTTCTTCCTGACCGATTCCTTTGATTGCTCGTTGAATCGACCGCTCGCTGGGGCTCAATATACTTGAATGACCGACTCCTCAAACCTTCCCCCGAGAAATAAATTTATGCAAATTTTTGAAGAAGTATCTTTTGAAAAAAAACTGTTGTTAGCCTCCCATCGAATTCTCAACATACCCAACCCAAAAACATCATCTAATAATTCCCAAAACGCAAAAAAATACCAATCCAACTTTCAGTTTCCGTTAATTTATTCGTCAAATCACGGAAATAACAAAGAAGCCAAACGTACAACTGGCTAGTTAATTACAGTGATGAGAGGATCTTGAATAGTTGTCATCGCTCAACGACCATCGTATACCAACACTGAAAAACTCTTTCGTTCAGATGTCATAAATAATTGTGATCTCAACCTAAATTTACAAAAACAATGTAAAGAAACGTACAATTTCTGCTTCTCTTCTTGTAGAGGACTCTGTGACCGCATTCTCGACAACGGATCTGATCTTTGGGACGAATCTCGTTGGGCTGATTACATTCTGAAATCACACAGGTAGAGTAATATCAAAACCGAAAATAAGACTTAACAACTCAAAATATCATTTGACGCAAGTTAAACGACATGAGAATCCTTATACATTCTAAAGTTTTCCATTTCCGAATACTAAAAAAACTACACCTAAACCAAAAGAAAATTGTTTGGCACGAGATAAAAAAAGCCACTCGGTCTCCTTGAAGCCATAATAAACGAATACAATTGAAACCAGTTAATTACTGCAAAAGGCCCCGTGGTTTCCATGCAATTAGTCGGAGGCGCCCGCTTTTACTTTGACCTAGGATAGTACGACGTTTGACCCTTTCGCAAAAACCCCGTAAAATATCAACTGGTTTAGACTGACCAGGAGAGGAACAAGCTATTCGGAGAAAAGAACTCATAAAATTTTTGGAGTTTATGCTTTTTTAAACCTACATATTGTTTTAGGCATACAATCTTGGAATTCACATGGACATTCAATAAATTCCATTGAGATCTCATTCCTCCCAATGTTTTATTAACGCGAGTGCCTCTGTTAACCTATCCATCCATAAAAAAACTCCAAAAAAATTAACGGAATTCGCTTTTTACACCTACTTCCAATACCTAAAACAATATTTTTTTTTTGAACCAAACGGCAGTTTTTGATGCCTAAACGTAGGATTCAATGCATTAAGAGTAAAAGTACTTACGACCGCACATGTAGATCATAGGAGCGGCAGCTTTTGGAGTGGCATTCACTGTGGTTCGGTTACCTTGGGCTGGGGAGTCCATTTTATCTGAAACAAGGAATGAATTACATTTTTTATTATTTGGCCAAATATATTCTCGCGTATTACACACTCTAACAGCTAAATCCACCTTCCTTTCTGACAGAGGCCCTATTCCAAAAACTATTTCGCCATTTTTCTCAATTTATTTTCTCGCAAGCTGCGCCCGACCTTTTGCTAAAGACATTTTATACGATGGAAATTTTAGGCTGTAGAAATGATTGTAAAAAATTGTTGCAACTTTAGAGAAGAAACATTTTAAATGTTGCGAGGTGTGGTTGAACGGTCGGACTAACAGTTATGGCATGTTGTAAGAATTTTTGTGTTCCATTAGCCAGGAAGTTGCAAGTGCTCGGAATTGGTCTCATCTTCAGATTATGCGTACTGTATGTTGGTAAGTGTGAACTCAAATCGTCTATTGAGCGATCTCGCCGCATATGATGGCCATTTTGATCCTTCTACTGTCTTTTTTTTATATATTATACATGATTTTATCTTACAGTATGCACGGCGCATTATGATCTCGTTGCGAAAGATTATGTCCTTGATTTCGAAGTCCTCGGGATCTCATTCCTGACCTACTCCTTGGTTGTTATCATCCTTTGTGGCTTGATTATGATGATGGATGCGGTTATATTATTCTTGTCAGTAGTCAATCCGTATTCGGCATTTCGAATGATTTTCGTTACATGGATGGTCCATGGGCTCTTGATCTTACCTATAATTGGAAGCGGTGGGTTCTTTTTCAACAAAATAAGACCTTATTTGGCCAACTAAAGGCACTTTTCAACGTAATAAAGCGCAATTTTGGGTCCCGCCACGAAAACTTGGAAATCTCTAAAATTGAAAATTCTAACTATAAGATTACTTTCAGACTCCGAAAAGCCTCAAATATTCCTCTTTAGAAACAAATATCTATTATTCTAGGCTTATACATTGGCTATTCGGCGGATCTCACCTCCAACAATTATAAGGTCGATTGGATGGACAAGTACAAGGAATTGGATGATGTCTGTTCCTATGAAAACGCAACAACGGACAACTTTTTACTCCTGGAGGAAGTCAGATTGCTCGCTGAGACATTGAGTGTTGTTGAGAGCGAAGTCCGATGTTGTGGATGGCATGGACCTGATGATTATACGACCAAGTTCTGCCCCAACTTACATCAAGTAAGGTCTGGTTGGGATTAGGAAATGTTTGATAGGATGTTATTTGGCTTAAAATTTATCGATTTTTTATGACAAAAAAACATTGTATCTTAAAAAATAGCAAAAATTGAGATTTTTTTGAAGGGTAGTTCTTCAAAGGCTGAATATTACAGTACACCAGCCATCAATTCCAAGTAAAATTTTTTGTCGTAATTTTCTTTCCAATCTCGGCAACACTGTAAAAAGTTCTTTTTCTTGCTCCAGCTGCATCTCAAACCTTTGCTGACGACCAGAGATTGCCACGGTCAAAATTTTGGCTCCGGCTCCGGCTCTTAGCTCCCAGAGCCGGAGCCGAGGCCAAATTTGCAGCTCCGGCTCCGGCTCTTGGCTCCGTGCAAAATTTAAATAGGCCTCCGGCTCCTAAGCAATATGTTTTTTTTTAAATATTTTTCCAAAAGTAAAACTTATTAGTGCCAGATATCATACAGCCAACTTTTTTGCAGTCAAGTCACATCCTCCGCAGTGTTTTTCAAGCAATTTGGTTTAACAAGATCACGAAATTTTTACTTTTCTGACCGCTGGGAAGCCTGGCTCCGACTTTGGGCTCGGGAGCCGGAGCCGACCCCAAAATTTCCGGCTCCGGCTCTGGCTCCCGGCTGGGAGCCGGAGCCGCTCAGAGCCGGAGCCAAGAGCCAGCTCCGGAGCCGTGGCAATCTCTGCTGACGACTCGACTTTTCCAGAACAACACTGAATTTCCCTGGTGGGCCCAAGCAGAGAATCAAACCTACCCCTATAGTTGCTGTCCAGACATCAAATTTGGCGTGAATTGCAGTATTAAAGACCATCCGAAATGGTTCAAGAATGGCTGTAAAGAAGAGTTCTACGATTTTGTCTACAGAGTGCTTTTGGTAAGTCATCATTTTGAAGTTAAAAAATTTTTTTTTAAAATGTGATATTTGACTTATAGGCTATTAATTATTTGCAATTGGCTAGCGAGCTTGTGGCTTTCGTCCTCCAACTATGGTTCCTCTTTTTGATGAGAAATGTGGAAGTGCCCCAAGAATTCAAGGTAAGAGAAGTTAGAAATGTTTTTTTATTTTTTACTTTTTAGCAAATGTCATCGGAAGAGGACGATGCGCAACAAAAACTGGAGAAGTCTCCGTTGGTAACACACGCCGAGAGCTCCAAAATTCGAAAAATATCGAGCACCAGTTCTGTTTCATCCACTCCTGTGGACATGAGTTCAAGGAGAAAATAAATCTACTGACCTTTTTTCATATTGTATTATTTATGAGTCATCAAAAGAAGTCGAGAAAAAAATGGGAATTCCTCAAGGCTACGTTCAAAAGGCTTTCAAATTTTGATCTATCTAGTTCAAGTATTAATTCCTGAAAATTTTATTGCGGTTTCTAGGCGCTCGGGGGATCTTCATCGATCTTTACAGTCCCAAAAACTTCCAAAAAATTTTAATTTTTGGCCGTCTTTTGACCTAACAAACACAACCGCGTCTGCAAGGAGCGACCTGGATAAGTCTCCTACACATGAAATAGAAACTCATAATGAATATTTGGGTCAAATCATGTCATCACAGAGAATTGTACCATCAGCATTTAGGCTGAAAATCCGATTCGTTTCTTTTTTTAATTTACAGGGTCTTTCAAGAAATGTGCAGGAAAGTAGGAGGTTATAACTTTCGGCGGAGGCGGCGCAGAGAGTTCGTTTTTGGAATATGTATTTTTCAGTGACATTATTTTTTGCCTACGAAATAACAAGATTTTTAAGTGCAAACTGAGGTCGCTACAACCTTTTGAAAAAGGGGTCTTTTACCCCGAAAACCAGGGTTTTTCGGTTGAAAATGATCGAGAAATTTCAGAGTTTTTCGGTCCAAAATCACCGAGAAATGTCGGGTTTTTTGGGGGGTTTCGATAGAGCTGACGTTGAAAACAGGGAAGGAAATTGCCAACACGTTGAAAATTAAGCAAAAATTCGGCTAGCCCCAACTTGGGGCAGATTTCGAGTTTATTTTCAGTGTTTCATTTGTGGATTTGGGGGACCTGGAATCGGCTAGACAAGGCACCAGAATGTCTGTGAAGTCTTTAAAAACTAGTCAAAGGGGTGTAATGGGCGTCAAAGGGCAGGAATGACAACCAAACTTTTAAACTGCTAACAAAAACTGGTTGGCTAGCCAAAGTGTCAGAATGAAGAGCAGCCGAATATTTGCTTAATTTTCAACGTATTGGCAATTCCCTTCAAAAACTGGTTGGCTAGCCAACCAGTTTTTGCTAGCAGTAAAGTGTCAGAATAAAGAGTAGCCGAATATTTGTTTAATTTTCAACGTGTTGGCAATTTCCTTCCCTGTTTTCAACGTCAGCTCTATCGAAACCCCCCAAAAAACCCGACATTTCTCGGTGATTTTGGACCGAAAAACTCTGAAATTTCTCGATCATTTTCAACCGAAAAACCCTGGTTTTCGGGGTAAAAGACCCCTTTTTCAAAAGGTTGTAGCGACCTCAGTTTGCACTTAAAAATCTTGTTATTTCGTAGGCAAAAAATAATGTCACTGAAAAATACATATTCCAAAAACGAACTCTCTGCGCCGCCTCCGCCGAAAGTTATAGCCTCCTACTTTCCTGCACATTTCTTGAAAGACCCTGTAGGTCTAGATTTTTGTCTAGGCTCAAACGAAGATGTATTTTTTCAAAGCTTTCCGATTTCCCCGCCGACTTTTTTCCTCTTTCATAACCCCGGCACCCCTCCCGTCCTGATCACTCCCCTTCCCTCCCCAGACTAAACCCCGAACAAAACAAAGAGACTGCAGATAACGAAAGAGCCCATAGAACCATTGAACGCCCACAAACGACCTTCAAGACCCGCTAGAGAAACAAATTAACTCCACTTGCACCGCGTTCCCCATCCAAAAAAATCTGGCGAGTTTAGAGAAGAGAGCCGGTTTGGCAAGCATTCTTCGGTTTTTACCCAGTACTACAAGGTACGTGGATGCTCTAACCACGATCTTTCGGGGTCGCTGTGTTAAGGCAAACCTCAATTTTTTGCTGAAGATCACCGGGGACTCCGGAGATCAGATATCTTCTATGAATTAAAAAATGGGAAAACTTTGGGCGAGAAAAAGCTGAAGGTAACACAATTTTAATGTAAACTGTTAAAAATCTGAACTAAATCGTGCACTGCTTCATCTACAAGCTTCTTTTGCCTATGTCATCAAAAGATTGCCATTTTTACATCAATTTCAGGATTCAGAGAAACACTTGACGCGAAGAGAAAAACATGACACAAACTGGGAAAAATAAATTTATTTTTGCCGATTTTTCGTAGAAGTCGAATTTCTCTGTAAATTTGTCGTTACTTGTTATTTGTTTCTGTTATTGTTTCCATGAATTTGTTTCCAAGCAAGGTTACCGAAAAATGCGAGGTATTGGAGCTGAAGGAGAACGTGAGGATCGAAAATGTGTTGAAGAAGGCGTTGAAACACTTTGATGTAAGTTAAAAATACGATGAAATGTTTCTACTTTAGGTGATAGATAATTTAGTCTCTTGGCGAAGTTTTATGACGGTTTAGGTATTAAATTTATATTGTACATGGTGAATTCTCGGAAAATCGAAAATTTATTGTCTAAAATAATGTGCCGGGCGTTAAAATTGACATCCATGGTATTGTAATTGCATATACAGGCTGTCAACAGAATTAGTCTGCTTATTGTTTCAGGATGAAGGAAAGAATTTACTCATCTATGGTTCGAACAAAGGCATTGAGAAAGTGGTGGCGCTGACCGAGAAGATTAAGCAAAATCAAAAAGTATGTGTAGCTATAGTATTATTACTTTATTATTTAGGATCCAATCTATCAATGGAACAAGTTTTCCGAGATTCGAGTAAAAGCGGAGAACAAATTGGATGTGGACAGCTTTGAGCCTGTGATGGCCGTTGTTTTGAGCAAAGCCAAGTTTGAGGAGGAGTCAGAAAGGTGAGAAAGCGGGTGGAATACTTAGAAAAGAGCTAGATTTTTCTTTTGGACCCATTTTTAGCATTGCTTGAGGGCTACAAAACTTTTGTTGAACATTTTTTTTATCGAAGACTCTTTTGCCAAATATTGGAACTAATTTTTTGTGATAAAATATCTTGTGATTCGATGATTTTTTTGATAAGAGAGACTTGATGATGCCTGCAAATTGTTTCAGTATCCAGATCTCAACTGAATCCGTCGATTTCCCACCATTCCCAGGCCTGCAACGTCAAAAAATCGGCGCCGAAAACAAAGATAACAATTGGCGTCAAAAGCGAAAAAATAAATGAAAATTTTTTGACTTTGTCAACCGTATTTTACTTCCAGAGGCCAGACAATGCCTTTTCCTTTTATTTCATCCTATTTTTTCACGACTAAGCTACTCACAAATCTCATGAGAAAAAGACTACGTTTCCCATTGCCTAAAACAACATGAAAATCAGACGGATTCCGCGAATCTTCTCCACCCAAATTGCCTTAGCTCCGCCAATTATCATTTGAAACACATTGTGGGCCGCTGCTTCTCGGGGGGAATGTGTTTTCGTTGGCGAATTCACCGGGGGATTAATGTGGGGGACCGGCGGCCAGGTTTGGGCGAACGAGAAAACTTTTTCGGACATCCGGTCTCGGTTCGAAGTGTACATGTAAATGCATGTTTTTTTCGGTGTGTGTGTGTGTGTGGATATGGGGTTCGGGTTGGAAACCTCATTTTGTCGTAAAGTTGTTCAAAACCCCCCGGCCGAGTACGAACGCGAAATTGGGCCCGGCGGGTATATCTCACCGCTTCTTCAGGATGCCCCCCGTTTCTTCAGGCGCTCCGCGGCGGACCGGAATTGTGTTTTGGGCCCGGCCAATAACAAGGGAATTTGCCGATCGTACAGTGGGGGACGGCTAGTTGGACTAGAGGATCTAAAATAAGGTCGGATTTTTTGAAGGGAGTACTCTGCTCACTAGGTTTGGGCAGGATATGACATAAGAGGGTGTTTGGAGAGCATTGGATATCCAGGAAGGACGTGAGGCAGTGGTATTAGACAAAAAAACTATATGTACATGATGAACAACAACACGTGAGAATAGGATTTTTGGGCTTGATAGGTCGAAGTTATTTTACTCGATAGGTCAGCCAGTCTTATGAAAGCGTTTGGTGACGACAAAGGAAATTTTTGAAGTGATCAGAATTTCTGATTATATTATCCATGACAGATTAGCTATTTTAATTAATAATTGTTTATCGCAGCCCCAAATTTTGTAGTTTTACCCCCTTTACAGTCAAATTCTGCGCCCTCGACGCGTTTGTCGGCTCTTGACCACCTTTTTTTAAGTCTTGATTTCCCCTTGACACTTATAGCAAAATCGTTTGAACTCAAGTCCCCGTCTCATTGGGATGTTTCGAAAGAATCCATTTGTTTTTGATAGCGGACCCGATTGGGGCCGAGTGTAATCCCATCCGCATTTAAATCGCATTTTGCACATGTGCTCAAAAAGTTTTCGAACCAGATGGCCCGACGTCCGGGTCGGAGGTTTATTTTTGCCAATGTTTTTCTAATTTTGTCGCAAAATCGCCGCAAACTGTCGTCTAATGTGTCTTCTTTGGCGTGGGGTTTTGATTGCTGAGGGGGATTTTATGACGAGACACGTAGTATTGACTCAAGATTTTTTTTTTTGAACTCGGTAGTTTAGGCTGTTAAAAAAGCATTTTCTTGGGATAGGCAGTCGATAAAAAGGTCGAGAAAGATCAAAAGTGAGGCCAAGGTTGGTTTCAGAAAGTATCATGGACAGAAAAAGATAGATTGCATATTTTAAACAGCCTTTTGTTGCTGTTCATCAAATCGTCGATAAAAATCTCCTTGCTTACATTTTTTTAATCTCTAGTCAACCGTTATGTAATCTCAAAAATTCCCCCGAAAATTAATAATTTATGAAATGGCTATAACACTCAATTTGCAAGAGTTTAGTGTTTGCATCGCTGATTAAACTTATTACAGGTATTGCTACGCAATGTCGTGTATATTAATTTCCTCTCATGCTGAAATCAGGGGCCATTTCCAGCATTCATAATACTGAAATAAAGAAGATTCAGGGGAGGAGAGATTAGCCTTGAACTGGTAAATTAGGAAAATTTAATTTCGTGGGCCTGATTGAAGGGGATTTCGTATTTTTCGAATGGCTATTTGTGGGGATGGATAAGGATTAGTATGCCGGTTTCTGGTTGAAGGTAGTCGAATTGAAATTGGATTGACATTGAATTTAAATAAGTTTTTCTGTTTAGGCTGCGTTGTCCGGAGTGCTGCTGCAGTGGCGCACCTGATCCAGAGGCAAAAACACGCACAATTTTACATCCCACGGCATTCTGTACTTTTGGGGCACAACCGAATTTGACACACATAGACATGAAGAAATTTGTCAATACGATCATGCAACATGCACTTCTGGGTTGCAAAGTTTTAAAAATGAGATTTTTTCAATTGTCGTTGGGAAGTTTATGCTGCAGGGTTCCTTACAATATTTATATTTTCTGAAAGCCAGCTTTTTACTCTACTGCCATACCAAATTTCAGCCTTCTAGCGCAAACGGCTGGCGAGATATGGAGATAAAAAGAAAGCGCACTTCGAAAAAAATTGAAAAAGTTGCGGAGACCGGTTGTGTTCCAAAAGTACAGAATGCCGTGCCTCCGGGAAGTATCAAAAATGTGGCAAAATAGCTCCCTCTCCAAATGAAAAAACTCCGTTTTGAAGGGCGCGCCCTTTTCCCTACAAATAGCGGGCGCACTTTTGAAATCGGAGACTTTTCACTTGTGGAGGGAGGTATTTTACCACATTTTGGATACTTCCCGGATGCAAAATTGTACGTTTGTTGCCACTGGATCAGGTCCGCCGCTGTAAAAATAACTCTTGAGTAATCTGAGATTATTCGTTGTAATACATGAGTTTCGTTGCACAGAGATTTTACTGCTTTTTCACGCTTGCAAGAATCGTTCACGGCTGTGCGTTCATAGTGTTCGTCGCAAACCTCGGGAGATTGGTATGGGGCATAGATAGACTTACGCTTAAAATTTGAAGGCAATTGGATGAATATCCAATGCAGTTTCCCTCTGAACACAATATTCGGATCTACACAGCTTGACGTTCTTTTTGTTCAATTTTGTTGCTATCTGGTTTGTTGCATCATTGTGTCATAGTGTTTTTTCGTATTCTACACCCCATTCTTTGCACACCTATTCACTTGAACGTGTTCGTACTCGGCCTGCGCTTGGAAACTCTGTTTCCTTTGCATAAGTAAGAAACAACTGGGCTTTTCTTCTACCACGCTGTGACGTCGTTTCGCGGCCACCTACATACCTATTTTGGGCCAATTTTCTCCGTCCTTTGCCCGCAACACCTCTAGACTATGGGCTGATTGTTTTCTCCGTTGTACCGGGACCCGCCGCCTTCTGGTTCAAGCGCCACCAAAAACAATTTTTTGTTGAAATAATAATTTCTGAAAAGATTTTTTTGGCCTCGACTTTTCGACACTCGCCTTTTTGTCTTGAAAGGCCCGGCGGGGACGGCGTTTCCGCCTCGGTTCAATCACCTTTCTTCCGTCTTGTGCGTTTTTTTTGGGTGGAGGATAACCCCGACTACGTCATCCGTTCCGCCAGGCCCGGCTTCCTCGGACTTGGTCGGGAATTCGGCAAATGGTATCGCCGGAAATATGTTTGGTGCGGCACAGGAAGTTGGAAACTCTTTTGGCTGTTGATCTATAACCTTTTATGGAATTTGTGTACTTTCGGGGATGAGCGTAGTCTACGGGGATGGGGAAAAAGTGGTGGTCGAATTTACCTTAAATTTCATTCGAATGGCCAGGCCTCGTGTCAGTTTTTGAAAATTTTGGCTCACGATTAGTAGTTGTGACGTGGATATCCAGCGATTTTGTCCAGCGAGATTAAGAAAAACGAGATGATTCTGAATATCTCGGGTTTTCTGCAAAGCTCGAGCTAAAATTTTCAGAAATTGATATTCGTTTAGATGGAGGAGACATGTAAAATCCGAAGACAATCTGACCATCGCAACTCGGTTTTCCTTCAAGATTTTTTGCGACTGTTGTCTCTACTGCCGCTAATTATTCCGCATTTTCAGTTGCAGCTTGATCCAATAATAGCCCCGTATCTTCCAAGGTGTGAAAATGCGTTTTGCGTTTGAAATTTTAATTCCCTTTCCTCGCCCATGAATCCGATTAATATCCGCTTTCCAGGGGCGAAGGGATTAGCTTGTAAATAGGACTTGATTCGTCTAGAATTATTTTTGATTACGCAAAAGGAAATTGACTTTCTTGGAAGATTTGGCTGTAAGAAGAGTGTCAAACGGCTTGTTTTTTGTGTAGGGATCGATGAGCGGTTAGTAGGGCGATCAGTGGAGAAAATAGTCAGGTAATTTGAGATTTATTAGGAGTGAAAAACAACTCTATGGAGCTTGAAAAATTTTGAAAAATTCGAAATTAGGATTTCTGGAAGCCTTATTGTTAGAGAAATTCGCATTTTGCAGAAGTCGGCACGGTATGAGGTGAAATGAGGATTTTTGAAACTGTAAATTTTATTATTTACTATTTCCTTGCCGCAAGACGAAATTTTTTGCTCGCAAAATTTTCAAAAAGCTCTTTTTTTTGCCTTTCCCCTTCTCAGTTGACGTGTCCCCATAATTGTCCCCCAACGAGTGAGTTCCAAACACAAAGCAATAAGGAATTGCCTTTCAAACTTCCTCCCCCGGCCAAATTACCCCTTGACTCATAGGCCTGCGGTTTTACGAGGGCATTCAAGTCGCCGTAACGGCCCGTGACGTCAGCCAACCGGTCCCATCAATTGGTCCCCCAAAAAAGACTGTAATTGTCTTGGGAAAACAAAGAGCGGCCGCCGTTACGGGTTTCGTCTTAAAATTCGCCTCACCTCAGTTTAGGGCCGAGAGTACCTGGCCGGCGAAAAAAACGAGGGCTTTGCAAAAAAAAATCGGCCTCGCAGAGTGGGCAATAGCGGCCGAGACGGGAGGGATGCAGAGCGGGGAATTCGATGGTTTTCGGCAGAAACTCCTCAAAATTTCCCCATTGGCCGGTCAAGAGAAGAGTTTTTTTTGCGGGCGGCCGGATTTGAGCGGATTTCGATGGGATTTCCTCGCGGATTCGCCCCGAGGCATCCTGTGTCAGCGATGGCGAACGCCCTGTTTTTTCTTTGGGGTTTTCGGAAACACCATGGACGATGTTCTCGTCGGGGAATTTTAGCTTCGAATTTTGGGAAAGCAAGGATTTATTGTCCCTATGTTCA